TTCACAGCTGGAAGAGGATGCTGGGCAGCTGAGTGATGATTGCTGAAAGTTAGGAGCAGGGGAAGCCAAGTGACTGCTGGGAGAAGGGGAAGCTGAGTGGCTGCAGGGAGTTAGGAGCAGGGGAAGCCGAGTGACTGCTGGGAGGAGGGAGCAGGGGAAGCCGAGTGACTGCTGGGAGGAGGGGAAGCCGAGTGACTGCTGGGAGGAGGGAGCAGGGGAAGCAGAGTGACTGCTGGGAGGAGGGAACAGAGGAAGGTGAGTGACTGCTGGGAGGAGGGAGCAGGGGAAGCAGAGTGAATGCTGGGAGGACGAAGCAATGGAAGCTGAGTGACTGAGGGGTTACAGCAGGGATAGCCAAATTCTGTCCCATACCAACTGAACAGGGAGCGGGGGGGGGGGGGGGGGGCTGAGCTGCAGAGTCACTGCTGGGAGGGTGAGCAGGGAAAGCTGAGTTGCTAAGTCCCTGCTAGGAGGAGGAGCTGAGCTGCTGAGTCACTGCTGGGAGGGGACGCTGAGTTGCTTTGAGAATGACTTCAGTACTTCTGTTGCGAACCTCAAAGGCGAATTGCGCCACAGTGGCGGCAACTACAGGGGTCAGTGAGGGTTTTCTTTCAAGCCCTTTTGCTGCAGGATAAGAATGTGAATGTCTGGCCGCAGGGTCACATTAGGAAACACAGAGAATGGGATGAGTGGGATACACATGTAACTATTGGAATGCATTGCCAAAAGATGTGGACAGGAAATAAAGGTTCTAATTACACTGTGGAAGACGCCAGGTTGGTGTCACCGTGCTTTAGCTTGCCGTCCAGTGCCAGGCCGCGCTTCTCCGTATTATTGGCCAATAGGGGAGTCACCTGGTACGATCGGGTGAATGCGGAATTGGCCGCTACGGTATCACTGCGGAGAGATGACAATGGTCTTCATTATGAGACATGACATACAACAGATACCCCCAGGACTACCCTGTGTTAGGGGTGGGCCGTGACCGTGTTTTATCTCGGATTTATCATTTTCTTGGGCGGTCGGTGATGATGACATCAGAGCCACTCTCAGGGTGCCGTGGTGATGCCTCCTCAGTGGGCGGGTCCATGACGCCCTGCACTTCCAGTATGTCCTCAGTCTTCTGGGTTGAGGGTCGGCTGGGAGTCATTCAGCCCAGAAGACTGAGGACATCTAGTGGCAGAAAGGAATGACTGCGGGGGGCGGCACCGGTCAGGAGCGGAGTATTGCAGCCACAGCTGCCTTTATTTCACCCCTCCAGGGGTATTATTTTTTTCACAAAGTACCCCGAATTCAGCTGTAAATACTCACTTCATCTCATCACTGCAAACTATTTTGGTGTACTTGTCCAACGAGTAGAGCACGACATCCGTGACCTGTTCCACTGCAAGCACAAGCAAAATGTCAGTCAGCACGCTTAGCATTTCATATCAGAGAACAGAAAACACGTGTGGGGGTATTAAAAAAAGATGACGTTTACGCAGTGTGAGGTATATTTGCTTTCACCTGCCTGCAGCAGACTGATCTCCGCGGGGAGGGAGACTGAGGGAATGCTTCCTCCTGCCTGCAGCAGACTGATTGCATCATCTCAGGGTACAATTCTAAAATGCTGGATTTCCTCTCACTTTCTGTCTCAGTGACGGCGTTAGCCAGGACAAATAGTTGCGGTGAATCTCCATAGTGGGTGAACAAACCCATGACCATTAATATGGAGTTGTCCCCCCATAGACAATAATATGGAGTTGGCCCCCATAGACAATAATATGGAGTTGGCCCCCCATAGACAATAATATGGAGCTGCCCCCCATAGACAATAATATGGAGCTGCCCCCCATAGACGTTAATATGGAGTTGGCCCCCCCATAGACATTGATATGGAGTTGCCCCCCCAAAGACATTAATATGGAGTTGCCCCCCCAAAGACATTAATATGGAGTTGCCCCCCCAAAGACATTAATATGGAGTTGCCCCCCATAGACATTAATATGGAGTTGCCCCCCCATAGACATTAATATGGAGTTGACCCCCCAAAGACATTAATATGGAGTTGCCCCCCCATAGACATTAATATGGAGTTGCCCCCCCATAGACATTAATATGGAGTTGCCCCCTCCCCCATGGCCATTTATATGGAGCTGCCCCCCCTTCCCGTGGCCATTGGCAAGCAACCTGTCCCCCGCGGCTTCCGCACTCATCACCTACCTGTGATTTTGATCTTTTTTACAATCTTATTGGTGGAGTTGTTGATCTTCACATTCACAGTGATGGGATCCCCATGATAATGTATCTGTACAGAAGGAAAGGAGAAGATTAACATAGAAGAAGAAGCGCTGAATACATCATCATGACTTTGTTTCTTCAAGCTGCAATGGCAAGCTAAAGTGACCTACAATTGTATTGTATTGACCTAGGGACCACTTTAGCATGCCCTACTGGACTTATTTTCTATATTAAATACATAAAGGGAGAGCCACCAGATCTGTTATTTGGAATAATTATTTCCTTAAGCTGCATTTGCCTACATCAAAGTACTACTCAAGAGAGCACCACCTAAAGAGAGCAACACTCAAAGAGAGCGCTACTCAAGCGAGCAGCACTCAAAGAGAGTGCTACTTAAGCGAGCACCACTCAAACAGAGTGCTACTCAAGCGAGCACAACTCAAAGTTAGTGTTGCTTAAGCGAGCACCACTCAAAGAGAGTGCTACTCAAGCGAGCACCACTGAAAGAGAGCGCTACTCAAGTGAGCACCACTCAAAGAGAACGCTACTCAAGTGAGCACCACTCAAAGAGAGTACTACTCAAGAGAGCACCACTCAAAGAGAGTGCTACTCAAGCGAACACAACTCAAAGTGAGCCCTACTCAAGCGAGCACAACTCAAAGTTAGCGTTGCTTAAGCGAGCACCACTCAAAGAGAGTGCTACTCAAGCGAGCACCACTGAAAGAGAGCGCTACTCAAGTGAGCACCACTCAAAGAGAACGCTACTCAAGTGAGCACCACTCAAAGAGAACGCTACTCAAGTGAGCACCACTCAAAGAGAGTACTACTCAAGCGAACACAACTCAAAGAGCACTACTCAAGCGAGCACCACTCAAAGTGAGCGCTACTCAAGCGAGCACCACTCAAAGAGAGAGCTACTCAAGCGAGCATCACTCAAAGAGAGTGCTACTCAAGCGAGCATCACTCAAAGAAAGCGCTACTCAAGCAAGCACCAATCAAAGAGAGCGCTACTCAAGCGAGCACCACTGAAATTTACTATTGCTGATGTCCCTATCCAAGTCTATCACTCTCTAGAGAGCTGCCTGTGTTCCAAACCTAAGCACATCCACCCATATTGGGGTCAGGTGCTCCTCTGTACCCTAACCCCATCCAGTGCTGGAATTTTGGGGACACTGAGGACAATGAAGGTCTATCCCGCCATGAGACCTCACCTCCTTGTTTAGTGATGCCTCCAGCTGCAGAGGTCGGTCTGACATCATGAACTGACGGGTGATTTCCGCATGTGGCCCCGGTCCTGTTGATTCCGGGGCGTATTGGACTTTTCTAATGATGAGGCGCGCTGCGTTCCTGGATCAGAACAGAAAATATGATCAGACTGCTGGATAAAAAGAACAACTCCCATCATTGTCAATCCGTGATAGCACTGAAGTCCTGGAAATGTGATGGAGACATTCTGTCTATGTGTATATACAGTATATAGATTTTACGTGGCCAAACACTTCCTGGCTGAGTTGCTGTTGTTCCCAGTTTCTTCCACTTTGTTATAAAACCTCTAACAGGTGAGCGTGGAATATTTAGTAGCCAGGAAATGTCACAGAACACCTGAATCCAATGATTTGGAGGGGCGTCCCAATACTTTTGGCAATATAGTGATATATATACAGTATATATATATACACACGTGTTACATGCTGATGTTTTGTTACATTGTTTCATATTGATACGCCCGTCACCCTGGACAGGAAGTGAGGGGGAGCTTCCTAAGGGGACATAAACAGCAACAATTTATCCATACTGAAATTTGGGAATTTTATTGCTTTTGCAAAATTACAAAATTTAATTTTTAAAATAATTTTATCTTTATTTTGAATTCCCTATTTACCCCAAAAAATAAAATAATACAGGGGGCTTCTGTGGGTCATTGTGTGCAGTGCATTGTGGGTTGCCTAATGAAAGAACATGGCACTAGTGTTTGTTGAGTACTTCTGCAATCCTAAAATCTAGAGGGCACCACTATCACCTAATGGGAGGAGGGGAGGATCCCCGCTTCTGAGTTATTCGGATGTCTCAATACCTCGGATGCTGTATAGGAGCAGCAGTCAACCATCTACATCAGGCCAAAGCCTGTGGACACCATCACACCTGTATGAGCTTGTTGGATATCCCACTCCAAAACCATGGCCGATAATATGAAGTCCTCCCCCTATGGCCATTAATAAGGAGGGGGTTCCCCAATGGCCATTAATATAGAGTTGGTTCCCCATGGTCAGTAATAAGGAGTTGGTCCCCCAATGGCCATTAATATGGAATTGGTCCCTCATGGCCAATAATAAGGAGTTGGTCCCTCCATGGTCATTAGTAAGGAGGGTGTTCCCCAATGGGCATTAATATAGAGTTGGCTCCCCATGGTCAGTAATAAGGAGTTGGTCCCCCAATGGCCATTAATATGGAATTGGTCCCTCATGGCCAATAAAAGGGAGTTGGTCCCCCCATGGTCATTAATAAGGAGTTGGTCCCTCCATTGCCATTAATAAGGAGAGGGTCCCCCAATAGCAAATAATAAAGGAGTTGGTCCCCCATAGCCATTAATAAGGAGTTGGTCCCTCCATGGCCATTAATATGGAGTTACCCCCCCAGATGGCCATTTATAAGGAGTTGGCTCCCCATGGCCATTTATATGGAGTTGGTCCACCAATGTCCATTAATAAGGAGTTGGTCCCCCATTAGCCATTAATAAGGAGTTGGTCCCCCAATGGCCATTAATAAGGAGTTGGCCCCCCAATGGCCATTAATATGGAGTTGGTCCACCAATGGCCATTAATAAGGAGTTGGTCCCACAATGGCCATTAATATGCAGTTGCCCCCCGATGGCCATCAAAATAGAGTTGTCCCCCCCTTCCCTCATGGCCATTAACATGCCCACCCTCCATTGGAAAAAAAAATAGGAAGGCTTTCCACAATATTATGGATGGTGTCTGTGGGAATTTGTCCCATTTGTGATGTTGGATGAGAAGACCTGGCTCACAATCAGTGTTCCAGTTCATCCCAAAGGTGTGCAGTAGGGTTGAGGTCAGGGCTCTGTGCAGGACACTCGAGTTCCTCCACCCCAAACTGGTCACACCATGTCTTTATGGAGCTGACTTTGTACACAGGGGGACAGTCATGGTGAAACAGAAAAGGGTCTTCACCAAACTGTGACCACAAGGCTGGAAGTTGTCTACAATGTCTTTGTATGATGCAGGATCACCAGAACCTTCTCTGGAGACACCTGAACTCCATCATTTGGTGGTGGGGTCCATATACATAGTGGCCATAAGGTGTAGGTGTAATGGTTTCGGGGTCCCCATACTTTGACCATGTAGTGCAGGGGTAGCCAACTAAGGGCCACTCCTGAGCATAGCACACAGGGGCGTCCCGAGGCCGGGTGTCACCCGGTCTCCAGCCTGGGTGACACCCCGCCGTGTTGTCATCGTGCACGCACGGCCATCTGATTTACGCCTGTCGGCGGCCATGTTGGTGATGGACGTCGGCAGTAAGAAGAGGGGACGTTCACGTCCCCTCCTCTCTCCTGACACTGTTGGGCTCTCGGTCCATGACCGAGTGCCCGACTTTTTAGAGGAGGTGACACCAAAATGACTGTCAGTTATTTTAGTGTCACCCCCTTGTGGTGTCACCTGGGTGTGGACCGCACCTCCCGCACCCCCTTGTGGCGCCACTGATAGCACATAAATAAGGACAATATATATCACATTCGTTCTCTGTAATGTTGGAATTGGTAGAGATTTCTCTGGTTTTAGTATTTTAGCGTTTTCTTACTTTTTTGAAACTTTTTCCTCCACGTCGTTTCCCCAGAAACCTTTCACCTCGAAATCCACCCCACAGGCCTGCAAGAGAAGGTCAGAGTTCATTCCAGCAAGTGAAAGTGCGCATGGCGCCGCTCAGAGCTTGTTGATGCAGATGCCCCGATGACAGAGTTACAACTGTCTCTTTGAAGAGATTTCCCCCAAATTTCCTGATAAGTCCACAGGACAGGAAGTGGGGAAAAATCTCTCGAAAAAGCCTACAGGGGTTGCGACCATTTCCTCCAACTGAACCACAGCTTTGGCCTCAGATATTCTCCAATTCCATGGAAATGTGCAGAATATATTATGACTTATGGGGCAGAACCTTACCTTCCCAGAATCCTCTGGTCCAGGCTGCAGGGTCACCGAGCACGGAAGGTTCTTTACCATCTGGAAAAGCGTAAAAGAAATCATGAAGATTGGAAACATTGCAACAAGAAACGATATACAGACGTAAATGGCTCCTCACGGTGAAGCAGAACGGGAAGGAATTGACTCCCAGCTTGGCCTTCAGCTTCTCCTGGAGCGGGGTCAGCGGCTTCTTATCCGCCGGCAAAGGCGGGTACACCTGACAAGACTGCACATACAGGTCCTTCCTGAAGCAGAGCCCAATGAGCTCCATGTCATCCCGCCCATAGCGAAAAGCGCAGGTGAGGATCACAAACACTAAATGATACAGATTGGGGGAAACATAGAATAATTGTTAGAAAATAAAAAAGAATTTCCAGAAATTACATTTTATATACTAAATATTTTTTTATTATAAATACATCTTCCTGTACATAACCAAAGCATAAGGAAATAAAAGGTCCGCTTCAATTCTGTGACAGTCAGAGAGCACGCATTATTATTATACAGGATTTATAGAGCGCCAACAGTGTGCGCAGCGCTTTACAATATAAGGAAGACATTACTGTTACAATGTAAGATGGTTAGGGGGGCCCTGATTCTGAGAGCTTACAATCTAAAAGGAAAGGGAAAATGATACAAAAGGTGGTTATATTACTATAATTTATTATAAAATGGGGGTTGGGCTTAGCTGGGAGCCTGGCGTTATATATTGAGGGTCCCGAATACTATTCCCATACGATGACCCTAATGTTAAGCCTTCAATTATCAACAAAGTCATGTGATCACCAGGTCAGCGCAGTATTAGAGTTGGGGTTCACATCCTCAAGCCTTGACATGGTCACATGATAAAAGAAGAGCATCCTGGGCTGTAATAGAAAGTCCAATGGGCCCCCAGGATACCGTTGTTTTTTTTTTTTGCCCAGTCACCTATCCAGTGTCCTGATGAAGGGCACCTATAACTATCGAAACGCGTTGGAGGTCTCTTTATCCTTGGTAATTAGCAATTAAAGCCTAGAGCTCCCTTCCATTTGCCCCTGAGGAGCCCATCAATCAAACCATCGCATCAAAATCCAACCCAAATACCTGCTGGGTTGAGATCCGGCTCCTAACTACATGGTGGTCACATGGGGTTGGGGTTGGCTTTGTTTAGCAATGAAGGGCATTGGGCACCGGATCAGCTCAGAGGTGGTCACATGGCCCAATGAAGGTTCAAAAAGTCAAAGAGTTCAATAATCTCCCTTAATCTGGTTTTACGTAAATCTGTGTAATCCTCTACATAGGGAGCACACACAGCTCCTGAGGGGACAGCAGGAGGGCAGGAGGAGCGCATTTCCTGAGCCTGGCGCTGAGTTACGTCATCTCAATCCGCTTTGTTCATCCCAAGTCACATTCAGGCTTCCAAGGCAGGTTTGAATTTAATGGTGGTGGCCATTGAGCACAATGTATGTGCTGTATGTATGCTGTGTTCCAGCATCACCAGGTAATGTGTTGTGCCCGACTTTTTAGAGGAGGTCCAGGATCACCAGGAAGTGTGCTCCTGGATCACCAGGAAGTGTGCTCCAGGATCACCAGGAAGTGTGCTCCACCATTACCATGAAGTGTGTTCCAGCATCACCAAGCAGTGTGTTCCAGCATTACCAGGGGATGGGTTTCAGGCTCACCAGGAAGTGTGTTCCAGGGTCACCAGGAAGTGTGTTCCAGGGTCACCAGGAAGTGTGTTCCAGGGTCACCAGGAAGTGTGTTCCAGGATCACCAGGAAGTGTGTTCCAGGATCACCAGGAAGTGTGCTCCAGGATCACCAGGAAGTGTGTTCCAGGATCACCAGGAAGTGTGTTCCAGGGTCACCAGGAAGTGTGTTCCAGGATCATAAGGAAGTGTGTTCCAACATCACCAGGTAATGTGTTCCAGGATCACCAGGAAGTGTGCTCCAGGATCACCAGGAAGTGAGCTCCAGCATCACCATGAAGTTTGTTCCAGCATCACCAGGGAGTGTGTTCCATGATGACCAGGAGCTGTGTTTAAGCATCACCAGGAGATGTGTTCCAGCATCACCAAGTAGTGTGTTGCAGGATCACCATGAAGCGTGCTTTAGGATCACCAGGAGATGTGTTCCATAACTACCAGGAAGTGTGTTCCAGGGTCACCAGGAGCTGTGTTTAAGCATCACCAGGAGGCGTGTTCTAGCATCACCAAGTCATGTGTTCCAGGATCACCATGATGTGTGCTCTAGGATCACCAGGGGATGTGTTCCATAACTACCAGGGAGTGTGTTCCAGGAGCATTAGAAAACAAGCAAAAGAAAGAAGTGTGGACTGGGACAAGAGAACTCTATCTACATAAAAATCTGAACCATACTGCATGCTGTGCTCCCTCTAAGGTGTAAGGTTCAATTCTGACTACAGTGCACCTCCAAGTGGCAAACATTGACTACCGTGCTACATCTACTGCCTCTTTGGATACCTCATCACTATTATACCCCAGTGGATGCAGAGGTCTCATATACATTATAGAACATCGTTTGTGACATTATAATTTCCACCTGATCCCTAAGGGCCACTTCACACCATATGCAGTTGTGATGCAATCTGTTTATTTGACTGCTGCAGTCAAAATACATCACAATACTTTCCTGTGGGCTTTCTTGTGCTTTTTTCGCACCATTGCAGTGTGAATTAAGCACAAGAAAGACCATAGGAAAGTATTGTGATGTATTTTGATTGCAGCAGTCAAATAAACGGACTGCATTGCAAATGCATATGGCGTGAACTGGCCCTTAATAAAACTTCCAATATAAGTCCGGACCAATCAATGTACAAGAATGTAATCCGAGTAAAAAGTCTTCTATTTACCTTTCTTTTCCTTTTGATACTCCGGATCAATTAGAATCATTCCATCTGCAAGAGACAAGACGAGGTCAGTCAAAGCTGGAAGATCGGGTCGGATAGCTGTGATCTATAATGAGAATAGCAACTGACCTACTGGCTCCACAGACTCCACATGGTCCACAAAGTCGCGTTTCGCCAGATAAATAGATAACTAGAAGAGAAAAAAAAAAGGTCTTGTGAATGACACAGAATCTCTATAGGACACTATATGGCCAAAGGCTGGTGGACCGTCACACCTATAGGAACTTGTTGGATATCCCATTCCAAAACCATGGACATTATTATGGAGTTTATCCCCCCCATGGCCATTAATATGGAGTTGCCCCCTTTGTGGCTCTACCATCCTCCACTCTTCTGGGTAGGCTTCTACAAGATTTTGGAGGGTGTCTGTGAGAATTTGTCCCATGTGTGAGGTCAGGGACTGATGTTGGATGAGAAGATTTGGCTCACAATGAGCATTCCAATTCTTCTCAAAGGTGTGCAGTAGGGTTGAGTTCAGGGTTCTGTGCAGGACTCTCGAGTTCCTCCACACTAAGCTGGTCACACCAAGTCTTTATGGAGCTGGCTTTGTACACAGGGGACAGTCATGGTGGGACAGAAAAGGGTCTTCACCAAACTGTGACCACAAGGCTGGAAGAGGATAATTGTCTACAAATGTCTTTGTATGATGGAGTATTACCAGAACCTTCACTGGAGACACCTGAACTCCATCATTTGAAGGGTGTCTGTGGGAATTTGTACCCATTTGTGAGGTCAGGTCCTGATGTTGGATGAGGAGATCTGATTCACAATCAGGGTTCCAATTCATCCCAAAAGTGTTCAGTACGGTTGAGGTCGGGGCTCTGTGCAGGACACTCAAGTTCCTCCACCAACCTGGTCACACCATGTCTTTATGGAGCTGGCTTTATACACAGGGGACAGTCATGGTGGAACAGAAAAGGGTCTTCACCAATCTGTGACCACAAGGCTGGAAGAGCCCAATTGTGTACAATGTCTTTGTATGAAGGAGTATTACCGGAACCTTCACTGGAGACACGTGAACTCCATCATTTGGAAGGTGGACACCATACATTTGGTCATACAGGTCGGTGTGATGGTCAGGTGTCCACATGCATCTGGTCATACAGGTAGGTGTGATGGTCAGGTGTACACATGCTTTTGGTCCTACAGGTCGGTGTGATGGTCAGGTGTCCACATACATTTGGTCATACAGGTCGATGTGATGGTCAGGTGTCCACATGCATCTGGTCATACAGGTAGGTGTGATGGTCAGGTGTCCACATGCTTTTGGTCATACAGGTCGGTGTGATGGTCAGGTGTCCACATGCATCTGGTCATACAGGTAGGTGTGATGGTCAGGTGTCCACATGCTTTTGGTCATACAGGTAGGTGTGATGGTCAGGTGCCCACATACTTTTGGTACATTTTATATCTCTCGTTCTAATGATATTTTGAATGTAAAAGGTAAATCACAAACGTTGTTCTCACCTTGCCATCGGGACTGGTTTTCTTGAAGACTCTAAAAGGAAGTAATCAGATAGACAGAGTGATAAGAGAGCAACGAGTGAGCTGATTTCTGTCATTATCATAGAAATTTCTATTGTTTCCTAAATCTTAGATCTGGATGTCGATATTACTAGATGGTCCGTGATGTTTGTCACACAATAGAGGTGTAATATCCAGGGCCGGATTTACTCTCTCTGCTGCCCCAAGGCCAGGTTCCTCAATGCGCCCCCCTACCCGCCAACCCCCCCATGGAGAATGGCAGACCTGCAGGCTGCATACAATGTCACCAAGATCACTTGTACAGAACAAGCAGTGGCTTCCCTGCTGTACATTTAGCTCTGCTTGGCCAAAGCAGGACAGTAGAAAATAACTACCCGCCCAGGCATCGGGAGATATCAGTTCCACACCCCTGCTGCCCCAAGGCCGGGCCTTGGTTGGTCTTTTTGGAAATCCGGCCCTGGTAATATCCTGAAGCCGGGGAGTGTGAGGTGAATGTAGACAGGAAGTGGGGTAGATATACTTTAAAGGAGAACTATGGGGTTAGGGCTTTTCCCCATAGTTCTCCTAAGGGTCACGGGAGACCACAAACTGGCGTTCTCCCGTGACCCAAAGCTCATTATACTCAGCTACAGCTCGCGGTATACTGAGACGCCGCAGCCGGGACGGATCCCGACAATACTGTCTGGATCCACCCACCTGCGGGATTGACAGCTGGCTCTGCCTATCCAGAGGCAGAGCCAGCTGTGCCCGCCGCCTCCCCCGTCCGTTTCGCCAGCCAGCGCTGTAGGATCTGACAATGGAGGGGGGGGGGGAATCCCTGCAGGGAGCCCTGAGTGACAGTCACGGCTCTCTGCACGGATAGATCGAGAAGTGAGCGAGCGCCGGTATGTGTTCGCTCACTTCCCGATCTACTGAGCCGACCTGTGACAGTTTCATTGTCGCAGGTCGGCTCAGATTATGAGGCTGAGTGAAAGTCACTCGCCTCATAGTTCTCCTTTAATGGGCAGCCCATCTGGATGGGTCCATGTGAATAGTGCAGGCAGTGGGGATGATTCACAAAAGACAAATAGACCCTTTAGTTCAGTCAATGTGATGAAAATTCACCCAATCACATGCAAGGAAAATGAAATGTAGCCTGTGATTGGATGATGTCAGTCAATGGAGCTTCACCTCATTCATGTACATGGAAATACATTGGTTTTTTTACAAATTAAAATCAGCATTTCTTTCCAGTTTTTATTTTTTGCACATTCGTAACAATCAATCTTACTTGGATCCGTCCGCCATCTTGACTCCAATCTGTGAAGAAGAAGAAGAGAGGAAATATATGATTTCTAGGTGTCATGTGATCGTGAAATGACAGCACAAAGAATTACATTCACAGAAAGACTGGAAGTATCTTCATAATGTTACAATGTGGGCCAAAGAAATACTGGGGGGGGGGGGGGGGGTCGGCTATCACACCCACAC